CAGGCATTCCATTGACTTGGCCTACTTTCTAGATTTTCTCTCATTTTGGTTTGAATGAGCTCTGATCGATTACATTCAATGAGCACCAAGCAATTCAATTCACCCCCCAAGGCAGATAATTTACTTGGCCTGAATAACTTCTAAGTGACCAAACAATTGCTACTAAACAAGTTGATTTTCATTTCTGTGTCACAGCCCCCTGTATGTACAAATCCCTTCAATCAATTCACATCAAGGTAAAAACGTCATGCTGTGAAATGTTAATATGAAAAAAACATTTTTTGATTTGCCAGTTTCACAATGTTATCTGTAGGCTCAAATACCTTATCAAAATTATCCTTATTAAACCACTATTATGCATGTACCTCCAATCTCAATAGAACCACATTTTTTGAATACTTCTCATTATAACAAAACCACTAACAGTTAACAAGACATTTTATGTGCACCTGTTTCACATTGTTTGTCCTATCCCATCCATGTTTCTTTATCACCGTTAAGACCTTTTATGACACACTAATAAATTCACACCCAGTATGAAAAAGACTCACATGAGATTCAAGGCCACAGGCACTCAAGTGGCTCACATGGGAAAGATGCCAAAGCTCCAGCAGATGTAAAATTGTTGTTATCCTACTAACACATTGCTTAAAGAGTCTTCTGTTACAAATATAGTATGTACATTTTGTATTTAAAATGCCATTTTGTATTTAAATGTATTATGTTTACATATTTTATAAAAAGTACTTTTACAGCAAATACATAGTGATGGAATGCTTAAAGTACAAAAAACTGCATGTCTTAACTGTCACTCTTACTTCTCATCAAGGGCTTGAAGAGCACCTTATGCATTCCCAGGTTTTGAGGTTCAAACCTGCAGAGCCAGAAATTGAAATGAGATGTGATTTGTCTATTTCAAGAAATCAAAAAAACTCCCAAAACTCCAACACAAACTCGTCTTCGGACATGTTATTAGTATAAATTGATATTATGACATTTGTCACATTTGTGAGATTTTTAGAGAATTTTGTTAATTCCTTACTGAGAAGTCCTACATTCTCTTTTATTATGAAAAGCTTGTAAAGGTATATGTAGATAAAAAAGACAAAACAGGCTATACAGTACTAAACTAAACAGAGCCCAACCTTAAAGTCTTAAAGTGAAACTGGACTGTAATTGCTAAATATGTTGACTGCTTACTTAAGTTATAATGTTACCAACAAGATAATGGATTGTACTCAAAATGCATAAACAAACAGGTTCAGCATAGACATTCCTCCTATGTTGCAACAGCAGAAACATCACTTGTTTTGTTAATTTTATTTTGTTAGAAGTTGATGCTGTTTAGTTAGCTCATATACAGTACAGTACATAGTGTACAGTATGTGTAGTTTTGTGTTTTATATTAACAGAGAGTAGGTTTTGCAAGATAATATCAGTATATTAAGATTCAAGATTTATATTTAATATTAAGAAATTAAATCAATCAACACAATGTGAAAGATGTCAAAAACAACAATTTTGTTCCTCATTTTGTCTCATTCAGTTTGCTTTCTGAAATTATGAACCAGCCAGAAAGCACTTCCTGTCAATGAAATTCATTGTTGGTTGTTTTTCATTACTGCTCTTTGACCAAAAAAGCGTGTGCCTTGCAATCTCAAACAGAAAATTCAGGGGGAAATTGCAGTACTTTATCTCTTCATGTTTCTTTATTTGCTACATTTCATCCACATGTTTCCATTTCCACCACAATATTTATTTATCGATTTGATTCAAAACACAGGCACACGCTGCCACCACGCTGATGAAATGGCATGAGTCCTGTGTAGAATGTTGAGATGTTTTTGAAGTTTAAGTTTATAACATGACTAATATTTACAAATACAGTGTATGTAAGAAACAATGATACCTGAAATCAATAATTTAGCAATGCTATTTAAAGTAGTAATTACTAGAAATACTGGATTATAGTTTAGAAGTGACAGCAGTGGCACCATCATTGCCTGATTGTGTAATTGAGTGATTTACTTTAATTTTATGTTCATTTTTCTTTTATTTACAATACATTTAATTTTTAATCCAAATCCACCCACATTTGTATGGGCATTTAATCAAAGCAGTGCTGTGATTAAGTATTTCTGTTTTAAGAGTGTCACAATTCTCAAAAGGGTGACAGTCTTTTTGAGGGTAACTCAGTCACAGAAAGTTCTGTAATGTGGATCACAATCATACAGTATAAGTGCTTTTTGTCTTTCAGTCTTAAGGAGAGGGGCAGTCTATGACTTTGTACTGTATGTTTGCACAGTTGTTTTACACATTGAGTGCTTTGTATGTACAGTATACCCCCATACAGTATCTGTATTGTAATATGAAGAAGGTATTAGTCAAAGTTTTCCTTTTTATTGCTTTCAATTTTACTTGTTTTAGTACTTTAACCTGTCGTAAATTCTGATTCTGGTATTATAGTCAGTAAACTAGTCATGTTCAAAGATCACAAGTAATAGTGCAGAAGTTGCAAAGGAAATTGAAATCTATTTAGACAAAATTCAAGACCAGTGCAAAAAGCGATTTCTTCAAAGCATGGAGCAATAGTGTAAAATATAGATCTGAGTGAACAACACTGACAGGCACACACCCACAGACCTGCAGGTCCTTTACGTCCCCCTAAAAACACCAATTTAGTTCAAGTGGACGTTTTCAAAATCAACAGTGGAACACAAATCAGAGGAAACAAGAGGAAGTACACTTCAAATAGGGAAGAGGGAGTACATATTTACGTAATGGATCATGGGAGTCTGCAACAAGCTACTCAGCCGTGTTGAAGCCAATATACTGGCTTCTTCAGGAACTGGCTGGATGAAATCCTCAGACCATTTAGCTTCAATTTACAAAGGAGTCTAGGTGGGCTGAACAGCCACCTTTCAAGTGCTACTCTTTTTATGTTTTTATGCCAAGCATTCTCTACACTCAAGATTTCAGGATGTCCTGAAGAAGTTCACTCTGAGTGAAAGATGCAGAGTCCATGACAGACAAACTTAAAAAATGTAATTGTAAGCTAACATTGTGTCATATTCAAAGTTTCCTTTATCCATCCATCTTGTCACCGGGAAGAACATATAAACCCTAAAGCTGCAAAGCAGCAATATTAGCTACTATGGCACCATGTCACCCAGGTTCCTTTACTTGTGATCGTTTTCATTTTGTAAAAGGACACAGGGAATGCTGGAATATGGCACAGTAATGTTCCCTCTTTTCTTGATCCTTAAACATGCAAATACTGTGTGAAACACTGTTGTCATGCCACCATTTTCCATTCTTGCAGATGAAAAGCGAGTGCTAGTGACTTATTGCAGATACTGTAAGTCTGTAAACTGTAAGCCCCTAATCTCTGTGCTGATTCTCCAAGGGGCTTAAATTCATACTTGTAACCTGACTGTTAAGTTTTGATTACCAAAACTGTAAAGGCAGCACAGATCAATAAGTCACATTGGCAAGTAAACAGCAATTGATCAACAACACTGTTTCAATATTGCTTGTTCTTTGAACTCCCTGAATACATTTCTGTCCTTTGTCAGATGTCCCTGTGCTTGTGTTATTAACTCAATAAGAAATACAGTTTCTCCTCTACTGTATGTTTCAAGTATTGTACAACAGACAATACTTGGTGTGGTACCCTTGAGCAAGGCATACTCAAATTCCTCCAGTTAATGACCCTGCTGTACACATGAGTCTCCTGGTTGTTATTGCAAATGAGAATTCTTTCTCAATTGATTTAGCTGGTGAAAAAAAAAAACTAACAAAATGTTACACTTTCTCCCAGCCCTGCTTAACTGGGGACCAGACAGTGAGGCTGATGCTGGGTTTTATTCCTTCACACTGTGGTCTTTGAGAAACAAGCTGCAAAGTGAAGGTCCAGTTCAGCTCGGATAACGTGTGTCAGTTATCTCAAATATTGAGAGCCTTGACTTCAGATATTCATGGCCTCTGTTTTTCATTTCTTAAGCACTTATATAATAATCTCATACAGTAGAAAAACACAATGCACACTTGAACAGTGCTACTGTGGGGGAAAAAAACTATATAATGCATAAATAATTTACAGTAATACATGATAACATTGTTATTTATCACAGGAGGTTGGTTGATTCTTTGACTTATCAGACTAAAAAAAGACTTAAAACTATGGAAATATTTAACTTTTCCCCAGCCCTATCATAATGCTCAAGTCAAATTATAAACAGCTTTTTAGTAGCATTTTATAAAAGAAAAATGTAGTTATTACTAATCAATTGAAATTAGAATTGAAAACAAAAGGGGAACAAGATCTACAGCATGACAACTTATACTAAAAACTATGAATTATTTAATCAGATAATTAAATATGAAATAATAATTTAAGACAGAAGTTAAATTTATTTAAAAATATAAAATTGGTGAATATAAATTAATTCCATTGCTTTTTTACTGCATTGTCACATAATACACAGTAAATCCTAAACAACATATGAAATAAAGCTTGCATTTTTAACCACTAGAGTTGCTGTTCTTTGCCTAGTATTTTACCTCAGGTATTATTTTCATGGAAATTATTGAAAACCTGAAATTACTTGATTCATCTGTGAAGGCCGTTTCATTTCATCAATAATCCAGTCATTCAGATGTAAGGAAACTGAACATGTCCAGCAGATGACAACAACAGAACTTGTTGTTATTCTGTATTTTCAGGCCCAAGTATAGTCAGAATTTTATTACAGTACATTTAATAAATTGAGTTTGAGCTGAAATCTGTAATGTTCATAATCACGGAAGCTATCTTAATAGCCTACATTGTTAACTGAAACTTTAAAGGTTTCCTTCAATGCCCCGACATAAGAAAAAAAATCTATATACAGAGTAAAACTTTATTCAACAGGAAGCACAATGTTAATTGCAAATCTTAACCTAAGTAGTCAAATCTTAGAAGTTCAGTAAAGGTGCAAAATAAATCTCTGATTACTTACATCTGTCCAGCGATTCATCGGCACTGTCTGGACAGTCAGGTTCTCCATCACATAGCCAGTGCTCAGAAATACAAGTCAATTGATCGTGGCAAAGAAATTCACCCACATCACACAACAGGTGTTCTGGAATTCAGGAGAAAGATGAAGAAAGGGAAAAACAAAAAAATGAGTTTTTCATGATGATGGTTTCTAAAATATTTGATCAACAAAATATTTTGTCAGTAGGCTCTAAATGTAGAATGTGATTAAAACTCATTGTAATTTCTTTTATGCAGATGCTACAGTTATTTGTAAAATGATGTGATGAAATGGCTGATTAGAAATGACATAGTGTTTTTTGACAGACTGAAGGAACTGAATCATTTTTAGTCTTGAACAGGGAAGATCATGAGGAGACCTGATATATGAATATAAATATAAGTCTATAATCTGGCTTCTTTCTTCCTTCTTGGGTCAAGTATAATAAATATTTAGTTTACAAAAATTACTCCTTGGTGATAACAGAGGGGAATTAAAATTAATTCTTAAAATAAAATGCAATGTAGTAAATGGATAAAAAAGTGGACAGCTGGACTCTTAACTCATTCCCATTCAAAACAGAGTAAAGAGTGCAGTGAGACAAACTGCAGTCCTGCAGCACAAGATGATTCTTTCACCTCCAAGGAGACAGCAAAGCGTTCATAACTAGCAATTATCGGCTCACCATCAGTGTTAGTCAGACGATATGAATCTTTCAATAATTATCTTTAAGCCATATGGAATGAGTTGGGAAAGCACAGACTGCATCTTTATATTCTGTCAGTGTTAAATGTGCAAATTATTTTTCATCTTATTAACAGACTTCAAAATAAGCAGTAGCATCAAATATAAAATCTATCACATCTGCCTGTATTATTAAATTCAAAGGATGCTTAAGTAAAAAATGTAGGATATTTATTCGCTAAGGATGTCAGATTGCCCATATAATGAGAAATATTCAGTAAGAATACCAGTAGAAAAACAGAGAATTGTGTAGTAAATTTGTAGTAAAAATAGAATTAATTATTAGACAACTTTAGTACTCTGTATGCTTTTATGTACATGATACACAGTATTTAATTATGAATGAAAATATGACCCTTGTTTTAAAAAATCAAAACATCATCCCCATTGCATCCAGAATTGTTATATATTTCGATTTTTTGCAGTTCTGTAATATTTAGCTGCCTCTATGGATGTGCTATGGGCTTGTTGAATTCCATTTTTTTCACAGCTTTAAACATGATTTAGACTGTCAGGCTTCACTTAAGTTAGAAAGACATCTGTTGAAGACTTTTTAATTTCAGAAAATATGGAAAGCATATTTTGCCAACCTGAATCATGCCAACCGTCCTTGTTTACATTCAGTAAACAACACTAGTAACACGCCTATGCTCGTATGGTCTATGGGGTTGCTGGGTTAATTCAATCTCCTTCATGCTAGTGTGCCAACACACAGATCAAGTGGATTTCCGAAAACACTGATATCAAACACTTATTCAGATCATTTTCATGCAGGCAGTGAGCTACAGTCATTCTGCTGATGAACAGGTTATTTCGTCCTGGTGCTTATCATCCTGTTGCCACTCTAGTCTGGAAATGATTCTGCAGGCTGATCAGAGGGTCACGATGGCCAGGATGTGGCCTGTTGCCCACAGAATCTGTTTCCTCCATTTCCTGGATTCTCCAGGCTAGACTGCTGGTTGAATTAGAAGACCTCATTCTCTGCAACTTCTCTGACAAGACTCCTGCAATTATGCCAATAGCAACTAGGCAGTTTTCATCAGTCAAGCATGGCATTGTCTTTTCATGCTTTAATCTTGTTTTATTATTTCAAATTTTACAATTGTTTTTTTTTTGTTAACAGAGAGATTCATCTTATATGTATTACAAACAGTTTATTGTTATCATTGCTTTCTTTTGCGAAACACACATCTGTACTGGGTGACAGGTTTCCCAGCAGTGCCTGTCACAAAAGTTTTACAATCATTTAAAAAGTGGCATATGCTTCACAACTGTTTTGACATTGTCCATCTGTTCCATTTTGCTTGCTGAACAGGTTTTTTAACCAAGCCCAAAGAGGGTTTAAGGCACTGAAAGCAATTATTCATTCCAAAGCTGCTGCATGGGACATAAACACACTTTACTTCCGAGCCGCTATTGTTTCTGGTGTGGTTGCAACAGCTACAGCATAGGGATAATTCAAGAAACTATTAGTTTCTGCCCTCGAGCTAATACTGTGATACCAAGGGATGAGCCAAGAAAGGTTGAATGGCCACTTCTGGTTCCTGGGGATTCTTGTGTTTTTTATTAATGATTTTGGCTGTTTTATCTTACAGATTGTGTTGTTTTTGCACAGTCTTATTTTTTTCAAACAACCTTGATAGTGTACAAGGTAATTATGCAGCGTTCCATGCTAAAGTTCCAACCGAAGCAGTATTCTCAAAGATGATTTGTATGTATAATGTGTCGAGATTTTTGGTGCATTAAAAATAGTTTTCTCTTTGACATGATCAGGGGCAGAGGAGTAGAATAATTTGATTTAACAGATAAAGTTACATACTGTAGCCTTAAAAAGCCATGGAATGTCAAGACATTACATAACTACCAAAATACAAAATACACATCTTGTTGGAAAAGACTAAAAGTTATGTCCTCATTGCTTCCACTCACTAAGCAGTGGCTTTTTAGGTCCGCTGTGTGTTAACATAATAACAGGTTATTGTATTTATTATTTTATAGTAAATACATTGCAGGCATGGGGCACATCTGTTGCCAAATTGTCAGAAAAATCCTTTTAAATTAGTTTGTACCAATATGTGTAGTTGGTTTAATAAAATACAGTACATTAAAAAACAAAACAAAACTAATTGGTTCCACTTCTCATTTGTTGTCTTTGTCTGTATCACATTCCAATTCCCTTTGACGAAAATAAAATAAAGCTCTACAGAAGGTACCTGTAGAAATGGGGTTATCTAGCCTACCCCTACCAGGAATCCCCAATTTATACATTTCCAGGTTAGCTATTTTAAAAACACATACTGTAACACTGAGATTCAGCCCTATATTCTGTACTATGGCACGAGACCCATTGGGAAAATGTCTTGCTTGTCATTTCACATGCCAGAATGCACAGTATTACAAAATGCCTGAAGACTTGCTTACACATACATGACTGGGGATTAAGGCTTTTGTTGTAACCCTGCAATTATACAGAGCAAGCTGTTGTATTAGTCATTTTAAAGTATAAAATATGCAGGAGAGAATTATTTAAGTAATTTATCTGTTAAACCTCTGTCATTGCATTCTAAACTTTGGTCACATGAAAAGGAAAAAAAGATGTGCTCTTCTGGGGAAAAAAAGGGGAAAAATTCTCAAACAGGGCTTATTATGCAGGATTTATTCCCCAAAATAATAACGGTTGTATTAAAGTTAGTCTTAACAGGGATATGTTCCTTAATCAATTCTGCTTTTTAGTAATCAGGGGTTTGGATTCAAGTGGTTTTGATTTAATTTAGCATATACAATAGGTCAATCAAATAGCAACATCATTAAAACTGTAAAAACTAACAAAAGTTAGCCAAGTTTCACTTTTTTATCCCATATAGCAATACCAATTACTGGATTAGTTGGCTGTCTGGTGTACAGTAACAGTCTTTCTGTGCAGCAAACAACATGTTACATAAGGATGTGTTCTAAGTTATTGCAGCAACCAAACAGACATTTTAGAGTCCCTCAATGCAGACTGCAAAATGAGCAAAATGAGGAATTCCTTTATCCCCCATTTAATCAAACCACTCAATAAAAGATTATTAAGTTATGGATTACGTGCAATTATTGGTTACTGTATGTGAGAAAATGAAGGGGTGTTGTGCAAGGAGCTTAGGGTGATTGTGAGAGACGTAAATTTACAGGTTATGCTGCAGCTGTGTGGATTCCCATAGAAATGGCGTGCAATTACTATGTATGGGTTCATGTCTTTTATTGAAAGTGATATTAAGTTATTAGTTATATTAAGTAATGTAAATTTGTACTGTTTGTTTTTGTAAGTCTTTGTGTGTGTAAAACATAGCTGCTTGGATGCAAAAGAAATTTCTGAGAAATCAGATAATAAAGTATTGATGTATCATATCTTATACTGTAATAGGCAATTATTGGAAACAACAGTATATTTTATGATGCTCTTATGGAACCTGGAGGTCTGTTTTTCTGTCAATCAATTGATGGATTTCTTTTTCTTATTTTTATTCCTTTGATATAGTATCTAAGGCTGTTAATACAGAATGTAATTACAGCCTACCATACTTCCTTATGTAAAATTGTTTTTGAAAGGGTGGTTTGTGAAAAGTAATGGTTTATATTATGGATTAGCTAGCAATCTACTAGCAAAGGATTTTTCAGAGTTTGTCAATTAAAAATATCAAAACAAAGTATTGGTACATCAATTAACAACAGAATAACATGCAAAAATAAACAAAAAGAGCTATATCTTATGGTGTTTAGAAAATGTACTCCTTCTTAGCAGGTTCAATCCCTTTCTTTCCCAGTTGATTATCAGTTAAAGACTGCTGTCCTGACTTGGAAGCAATGTCCTTACCCAACAGCTGGACTTGTCAGAGAGTGATATTCTTCATAACAGAAGTATGTAGTGTCCTTATGCCTGTGTTTACCTTTTATCTTAATTTCTTAGAGGTGCACATTTCTATTAATGGATGATATAAATGACTACACAGTAGGTTAATACCCTTACACATGTAAACAGTGTCATGGGATTTTTAATAATTGGTCACTTTATGATCAAACCTTGGTTTAATTTTTCATCTAAATAATAGCTTGTGTCTTCTACAGCAGAGTTCCATATTGGGGAATAGTGTCTTCATAATATTACACATTTTCATTGGAAAACATTTAAACAACATGACTGCATACAGCAGAATAAAGAACAAAGGAACTACCACAATCTACACATCATAAAAAAGAAAGATAGATAAGCATCAAATGAGTTCAGTGCAGGTTACATAAAAGGTATTTTTTGCTCATACTTTTGTAAGATCAAACAAAGTGACTCGTATAGTCCTTTTTAGATATTTCTCAAACAGTTGTTT